GGTGATCCCCGCAGTGCAGGGTGCCTGCCTCCGCCAGCTGGCGCCAGTTGGCATGCAGGAAGCCAGCAAATGCGCGTGCTCTGTGCAGGTGACGTGTCATCAGCGCTGATGTGTCATTGTCTCCTGCTGTCTGAGCTCCGGGCGATGCTGAAGTGGCAGCCATAGAAGCTCCAGCGCCCTCGGCAGCAGCTGATCCCAAACCTGGGGCAGGGACGGTTGCCGAGCCTGCAGTTGTGGCTCGGTGGAGAGCCAGGAAAGTGTAGGCGTTGCCGCTGATGCCATGGCAGAGACCGACCCTGCGTAGCAAGCCTCGGTGCCAAACAACCTCTCCTGCCTCGATGGCTGCTTGCAGCAACTGGGGCTTGGACGGAAACAGCTGGTGTAAGGAGGAGAGGGCATTAAGGGCAGAGGAAAGGATGAGCTCTGGAATTGAGCGGTTCATGGCCAAAAGAACGGACTGAGTGCCAACAGATCGAGGTCTAATCACTTCAGACGCATGAGCTAAGGGGCCCACCATAGCAGCATGGGCGAGAGTGGGAGCCACACCAGGGGTTCCGTGGCACCAGTGCACCAACCGATCTGCCTCTTGCACCCCCCTCACCTCTCCCTCGCCCGTGCTTCCACCCCCACCCGCGATACCCCTAGCAGCAGCAGCAGCAGCACTGCTTTCTCGTTTGAGTGTGTTTCTGACTGCAGCAGCAGCCGCTCGGCTCTCCTCATCGCTCGCAGCATAGTTCCCGGAAGGCAGGCGAGTGGCCACTAGGTATTCCAGCGCTGCTGCTGCTGCTTCTGCTGCCTCCTCCAGTGTCCAGTCTCCCCTTTCCCTCGCACTGCCTCCTAGCACTGCTGCTTCCCTGACGCCTGCTGTTGCACCCCTCTCCTTCCCCACTTCCTCCAGTTCCGCCTCCTCCTCCAGTTCTTCTCTCCGTAGCAGCAGCAGCACGTGTACTATCCCTGCCACGCCGTGTGCTGCCCCCAGGTACCGAGTGCCGTACCACTCGTACATGAGAGGCGGGAGGGGACTTCCATCTGCAGAAGAAGTTTAAGTGGGGCATGTCAGCATGGATGCACGCAACGAGAATGAGTCTTTCTCATGCTGTGTTCTGCCCCCAGATACCGGGTGCCGTACCACTCATACATGAGGGGCGGGAGGGGGTGGCCATCTGCATTCAGCATGGGGAACAGGGGGCAGGACAGCATGGTTACATGCAACGAGAATGAGTCTTCTCATGCCAGCTGCTACCCCCAGGTACCGCGTCCCATACCACTCGTACATGAGGGGTGGGCGGGGACCATACCCCGCACGCCTGCACTCAGAAGTTCCACCATGCCTTTTTGTCTTCTTGCTTACCATGAGCATACATCGACGCAAGGGACAGCCCCGCATCCACAATGGCTTTTGAAGCGAGGTGACTTTTGAGCTGACTCAAACGCCATCTCTACAGTTCTACCCTGAAATCCTGTCGATGTGCTTACCATGAGCATACGTCGACGCAAGGGACAGCCCCGCTTCCACAATGGCAGCAGCAATGGGGCGGGCGAGAGACAAAGGAAGAAGATTCCTTCGCATATCCACAGGAAGGTTCCTGCGCAGGAACAGGAAGGCCCAGAGCATGCCTGCTCTCCCGTACAGTAGCTCGTGGGGGATGGTGGCTGGTGCAGTGTCGGTGGGGGAGGAGGGGAGGAGGGAGAGCGAGGGGAGTGAGGAGGTGAGGAGGGAGAGGAAGGAGCGGAGGTAGGGATTGGATTCGAGCTCCTCGTGCTGCTGCTGCTGGTGTTGGTGCAAAGGTTGCTGCGGTTGCTGCTGCGAGTGGTGCATGAGATGATGATGCATGACAGCTCCCAATGCAAGAATGCCCGGTTGACCACAGTAGAAGGTGTAATGCCTGATGGCATGGGGAGAAAAGGGAGGAGTGATTATGAGCGATGGGGGAGTGATGGTAGAGCAATGTAGGTACGTGAGCTGTTAGGAAGCACTGACAGCACATGCGAGTATTATAAAGCCAGGTGTGTTTTGAGTCGGCGCAAAACACAACTGACAGCATATAAACTGACAGCATATGCGAGTACCATGAAGCCCGAAACTAGGACAGGCACAGACAAAAGCCAGCACAGCTACCCACGTTCGATGGCGTTCCGCCATGTCAGCAGCAGCCCGGATGATGTCCGCAGCAAGTGCCAGGTCAGAAACATCGCCTGTGGCCTGATATGCTCTGAAGCACACCCACGCTGTCCCCAGCAGGCCCACATAGAGGAACGGGTCCCGCACCCTGCGAGCTGGCGCTCCGTTCGTCCATGTGGCTTGCACTATCTGTGCTTGCGAGGTGCAAGGGGGAGGAGGAGGATAGGAGGAAGAGGGTTGAAATAACAGAGGCTCTGAAGCACACCCAGGCTGTTGCCAGCAGGCCCACATAGAGGAATGGGTCCCGCACCCTGGGCGCTGGACCTCCGTTCGTCCATGTGGCTTGCACTATCTGTGCTTGCAAGGCAAAGGAGGGGGGGGGGGGGGGGGGGGCGCGAGCAGACGAGTGAGAAGAATGAAGAAAGGGGCCGCGTACCCTGGGCGCTGGAGTTCCGTTCGTCCACGTGGCTTGCACTGTCTGTGTTAGCGAGGCACGGATGAGGGCAAGGATAGGAGGAAGAGGGATGAGATAACAGAGGTTCTGAAGCACACCCAGGCTGTTCCCTGCAGGCCCACATAGAGAAACGGGTCCCGGACCCTGGCAGCCACTATCTGTGTCAAACTAAAGGGCGAAACGAAACGGAAGGCAGATATGCTTTTGTGAGGTGAAGAAAGGGAGGAGAGGGGGGGGGGGAGGGAGGGGGAGGGTAAGGGAGGGGGTAAAGGAGAGGAGGAGGCGGGTGAGAAGAACGAGGAGCTAAGTGTTGGAGTGGTTCTAGACTAAAACTAAGCACCCCACCTGATCTTTCAGCTCCAAACCCGCTCGCAGAAACTCCTCCTCAGACGGAACAGCCAATGACGGCCCGACACCTGGCAGCGACGAACCCACCCTGCTCTCTTCTCCCCGCCCTTTCCCTGTTACAGTCACTCCTGTTTTCCCCGTTACATTCACTCCGCCTTCCCCCGTTACAGTCACTCCGCCTGCAGGGACCCCTAACTCCCGAGCCCTTCGTTCCACTTGCGCTACAGCAGCCTGGGAGGGGTCATAGTCGGCTAGCAGGTTGTGGAACCGGCGACCGTCAGCTATAGAAACCGGGAAGGCGGCCGCGCGTGCGCTTTCTGCTTGCTGCTGGGAGTTTTCCTGGTGGATCTGACGCCCGCTTTTTTCGCCTTGCCGGCCGCTGTGATGTTGCCGGCGATGCTGCTGGTGGCTCATGACTGTTACCAACGAGGATGTTTTCTCCGCTTGCAGCGATGGTTGTACGGGAGTTTGGAACGACGGGATATGCGCGGAGGAGAATGAGGACAAACGGGCGGCGAAGCGAGAAGCGGCGGCGGAGGCGGAAGAAGCGGAATAAGCGGACGCGGAAGCGGACGAAGGCGCGGAAGCGGTAGTACTACTAGGGAGAGCGGTGGGGACACTGCATCGGCGCGTGAGGGGCTGGGCGCGACGACATGGGCGTGCGAGAGATGAAAAGCTCCTTGCGGAAACCGCGACAGACAGCATTGACCGTTCTTCTCCCGCGCACCGAATGTCCGCGCTTTACTGGCAGAGAACGTGGGAAGAGAGACGACGAGGGAGGTCAGATAGACTGGAGGTGACGGGAGCGCGTCAGCAGAAGGCCGAGGAAAAGCATATACAAATGAAGTAGTTTCCGAATCTGATGCTTTCCTTCATGCGGTTTCGGCAAGGTGAGACACGTGGATAGGCAAAGACGACATGCAGCGACTCGAGGTAGGGGAAAAATTGCAGCGCGGAATTTGAAACATGCAGGGGGAGGGAGTGTGTGAGTGCACATGACATCTCTGGGCTTGGCGCAGGTTGGAACTTGGGTGTAGGGGGGAATGGAGAACGGGGCGATTTTGATTGCGTGGCGAAGAACGGACGAACAGACGAAGCAGGTTACACAGTTGTTTGAGGCTTGGACGGTTCTTTTTAACGCGTATGCCTCGTACGAACAAATCAACATAAGGTCATTCACGTACACCGCAGCTGATGTTGGGCTGGGGCGTGTTGGTCCACTGGTCATCCATCGCGGTTCAGTTTCAGCACCGCTTGAAACCGTAACGCACCAGTGAAAACCGTGGAACCTGGCTCGAAAAGAAACGAACCAGACACCCTCTCCCTCCCAAACTGTCAGAATCTCCTCTCTCTGACACACGCGATTCGAGTTTCCCTGCCACCAGCACCAGTCAACTTCGAAAGCCATTCTAAATACTTCTGAACCATATCACCCTGAAGATTTTTGGACTCGAGGCATTCATCACCTAGAAGTTATCTCAAACGCGTCGGTTTCACCGCCGTCTAAAAGTCCTTCCGCCTTGAACCCGTCGCCATCGACGCGTTGCCTCAAGCTACGCTACGACTCCAGCTTGGAATTCTCCTTACTACCTGGATTCTAGCGGAGGCTATTGGATGAGAATCGGTTTCGGCTATCCCTGTTAGCTACCACGGAGCAGTAATCTGTCGCTGGCGTTTTATTTATTGACTAAATTATCATTAGAGTCCCCGCAGTACATCACTAAGCGCTCGTCGAGAAACTATGGAGGATGAACATCCCCTGCAGCTGGCGGACGGATTCGCTAACACGCAAAACCTTGACCACTGTATCGCGTACCTGAACGAGTCATTGGTACTGCTCGGTCTTCCACCGACCCTCGCACTTCGATCCGATGAAGCGGTTAGTGACTCATCCAAGAATTTGTTTAATTAGTTCATGTCGTATCAGGTAATTACTAATTCATTATGCTTTGCAGGTTACTAATCAGATTCCAGACCTCTGAGCTGCTTGGATTTCGCTCCACAGAATGCTTCAGTCTCTTAAACATACGTCCAGGACCGCTTTCCCGGCAACCAGCGCTTGCTTTGTGTCATTGCATGTCGCATGAATGTTCGCAGGCGTCCATGGCGACGGCGTGCGACTGCATCTACCAGCTAGTGCAGCAGCGACAGGCGGATGCGAAACAGCTCGACGACCTGGCGAAGCAGCGACACCGGCTCATGTGCGACCTGGCGACGGCGGAGAGTCGCTCGGATCGTCTAGAAGACGAGCTGGAAGTCGCAAGGCGAAAAATCCAGTCGCTTACAGCGCAGGTGGGGGTGTGGGCTGGGAGCAAGAGAGAGAGGAGAAGGAGGGGGATAGATGGGTTGGAATGGACGAGATTGGGTGGGAATGGGTGCAGGAGAGTGGTAAACAAGCACAGCCGATATCATCATGCACAAGAGAATGAGGAGATAATCCAGTCGCGAGCCCTGCTTCCAGCATCAGAGGAAATTTCTGTGTGTATCGTGTTTCTCGTCTCATTGTAACTCGCATCGTCTCATCTTCTCCCATCTCACTCTCATCTCGTCTTCCGGCGTGTTCTATGAATCGACTCGTCGCTCTCCAGGAGCAAAAGGCGGCGGCGGAGTTCAAGGCGTAGATCAAGAAGCTCAGCAAGCAGCTTTGCGATTAGTAATTACTAATTCAGCAAGAGCAGAGAGGGACGAGCTCAGCAAGCAGCTTTGCGGCGCCTCAAAAAGGGTCATCCCATTCGACTCTCGTTTCATCTCTTATTGCCTCTCTGCGTGTCCTGTGGATGGACCCACCAGGAGCAAAAAGCGGCGGCGGAGTTCAAGGCGCAGATCAAGAAGTTAAGAGCAGAGAGGGACGAGCTCAGCAAGCATGTCATCGCCCTGCAGGTGAGTCAGCAAGTCCTGCAGGTGACTCAGCAAGTCCTGCAGGTGAGTCAGCAAGCCCTGCAGGTGAGTCAGCAAGCAGTATCCTCGATACTGTTATATCCTCGAAACTCTTCTGTCCTCGATACTGTTGTATTTGACTCCATCCAGTCCACCATCTCACTCACTGCTTCTTTTCGGCGCCTTTCCGAGGCGCCTTTCGGCGCCTTTCCGGCATCTTTTCTATACGTGTATTCACCACGCTCGTCCCACCATCCACCCACGCCTCTCCCACCCGCCCCCTGCAGCAAGTGAAGGCGCAGCAGGCGTTCGAGCTGCGCAAGGAGAAGCGCGAGTTTGTGAAGCTGCAGGAGAAGCTCGCGTCTTGCGTGGGGGGCAAGCGCACGCCCCCCAGGCAGCCGGGAGTGGATATTGTCAACCTCAATCCCCAGGTACAGTGCGGTGGACTGTGGTACGGAAGTGCGCGTTGCAGTGTTGTGCTGTGCTTCGCATAGGAGAGGCTAGGGTTGTGCGTGGGAGGCAAGCGCATGCCCGCCAGGCAGCTAGATGTGAGATCCTTCTTCCCTTCCACCCAGCCTTACCCAACCTTGTCCCTCCTATCCCAACAAATGCGTACCCCATCCTTGTTCCCCTGTACTCCCCTGTTCTCTGTGTGTTGCAGTCAGAGGGCAGGCAGAGGGCCACATGGGGCGGGAAGAAGTCAGATAGCAACTTTTACAAGCGCATGGTAAGCGTGAATCCCTTGAGCGTCGCTAGGTTCAATGCTACGTTCTTAAGCGTCGCATCGTAGGTGTCACTCTGCTAAGTGCCTTCTTTGATCATAATCACTGTGTTAAGAGTCGAAGCTGCTTCGACTCTTCCCACATTGCTCTCCTGTTCCCCCCCCTCCCCCACCCCCACTTAACCCCTCCATGCGACACCAGTCCAGACCTTGTTGCGACTTCTTTACAGGCTCTTTTCCTCTGTCCTCCCGTTCATTGGTACTCGCTCCTCTCTGTCCATGCATCATCTTTCCCCACTGTCCCACTGGTAACAGATGGAGGCGCATGAGAGGCAGCTGAGGGCAGTGGGGGAGGACAGCAAGCAGCTCATGGCAGTCATTCGCTCCATGCAGGTACACCCAAACAAATGGACAATATATGGAAGTTGTTTATTCGACCCATTGGTAATTTTTCTTTATGGCTATTATTTATTGTAATGTTATTACAAATCCAGTGCCTGCTTGCAAGGCTCGTGTCTCAAATTCACGTGCCCTTGTTCCTGCTACCCCTCTCATTGCAAAATGTCGCTTTTTTGGATCTGTTTCTTCAGACGGACCTCCAATCACTCATTAGCGAGTACAGCAAGGGCCTGCCCTCGTCAGTAGGAGAAGGGCAGCAGAAGGAAAGGAGGCATGAGAAGAGTTTCGAGGAGGAGGGAAGCAGAAGGGACGCGAAAGAGGAGGATAGAGGGAGTGAGTGTGGTTCGGAGAGGGAGGAGGAAGTGGAAGAAGAGGAAGAGGAAAACATGGTGAGTCCTCTTGAGAACAGGAAAATGAACATTTCCGTCTGCTCAAGTTCCACGCCCCTTTGAAAAAAATCCCACGCTTTATGTTATTGCTGTCCTTTCTTCATTTCCTGCAGTTTCTTTCTTTTCCTCAAGCTTCTGTCCCCACTCTTTCCCCCACCAGGACGTGTACGCCCTGCCACCCAACATGGCCTGTCCACACATCATGGATCTGCACCAACGCATTGTGACGGCCATGCGTGTATGTACCGCCCAGTGAATGATTCATTATTAGTAAAGACCAGCGTGATTTTAGAATTGTCCCACCCAGTATTTCCCCTTTGTGGAATCATTGCTGCGGTCGCCATTTTTTTTTCCTCCATTGTGTGTTATGATATAAAAAATCTCATTTGCCCACCCCGCTGTTCCCTTCAGGATCTCGTCCAGAGAGCAGCGCAGCAGCAGGCAGCCTCTGCTGCAGTGGGTGGTGGCTGTACCGGAGGGGACAGTAACGAGATGGCTGCTCTGAGAGAAGAGCTGGAGGCGTGCAGAGAGCGTTTGGCCGAGCAGGTATGTGTGAGGAGTCTATGTTTGAGGCGCGTAAATAATGCGGATTGTAACGAGGATGGAGCACACTGGGAGGGGAGGGGCAGGGCGGGGGAGAGTGGTAAGGGATGGAAGAAGGGGAGGGAGTGGAGCAGAGGGGAGGAGGAGATAGATAGATGGGCAAAGAGGGGTAGTGGATTGGGTGGTGTGCTGGTGTGGGGATGCTTAGGAGTGGAAGTGGAGGAGAGCTGGAAAGAATTATGATAATTCTCGGCCTTGGAATTCTGACCGTCGTTGCTGCTTTTCCCTTCTCCCTGTACCCTCCCTTCCAGGAGCTCCTGATATGCAACTACATGCACACCCCAGGGTGAGCTCCTGATATGCAACTACATGTATGTTGAGGTGATGCGATACGAAGTTTATTGGTATATGCTGTGAGATAATGTGTGTGTCAAGACAGTTGATTCGAGCATCTCGTGAGTCTTTTAGGTCGTCCTGCACATTATCCATGATGCATTTGTTAGTGTTCTCACGGCCCCTCTCGCGCTGCATTTTTTGCTGTACCAGGAGCGCTAAGAAGACGCCCTCCAATAGGAGAGGGGATTTGACGCCACTCTACACCGCCCAGCCATCCTGGGCTAGTTGACAAAGGCGATAATGTAGGCTCCCTACAAGGTCCAAGTTCCAGCATTTTGCTGGAAAGGCTGATAGATTGGTCCCTTCACTAGTACATGGTTAAAAAAATAAGATAGTGAGATTCATAGCCAGTAAGGAGCACGTAACTTCACATGTATTTTTAGTGTCTTAATTGCTGATCCAGGTGGCTCCAAACCTAGGTTATTACTGTGAGCGTATTTTTTTTCCCGCCAACAGACGTCCCATCTGCAGTAATTGCTGCTCTGCCACAGTCAGCACGAACCTATTGCATGACGTAAGGGTCGAGTTGCGGGCGCATGCCATCCACGTGAGGAATGAAGAGTTGTTCCTTGGACGAGTTGAGCTAGCTAACTGCCACTTGTGTCGTTTTCAGGCTGGGTGAGCTGTGCAGCGACAGCTCTGTCCCGTAGCGGACCAGGGTGGCAAAGCAGTCCCCCTCTCGGACTCTCTCCTTCCTCCCTGGTTGCCTACGGCGGTTGTTTGCGCCACAGGTAATACACCACCTTCGCAGAAGTAATCAGAAAATTTGGAAGGTCAATTACGACTGAGAATGCTATGCGCTTCTTACAGTGAAATATCATTCACCTTGAAAAAATACAAACATTCGAGGGTAAATGAGTTATGCACTGCTTATAATTACCACAAGCCAACAATGGCAATATCGAAGAACGTGAAACGTCAACGTTTGTGTCATACTTTACAAGAGACGACGACAGTCTCACACATTTGTGCCTGGCAAAAAATAAGTGAAAATCAGACGACTGTACAGATGTGCAGTCTCTTTCACTTACGACAAATCCAGAACAATTCGTAAACTGTAGCAAAGCGAGCCAGCACGCAATGCGAGCATCCTCCTCCGCATGCCCGCTCTCATGCGAGACGAATCGCGATTCCTTCGTGGGAAAAGCGCCGCCAAGCTGTTGCCTTTCGCACGCCTTGTGCTGTCGCGGATGTTTCGCGACGATAGCGTTGTTCGCTGGGCACTCCTTGATCGTTTCTACACGTGTCACGTTGCCACGATAGATTGTGCGACAGCTGTGACATGGACATGACTCAGAGCAGCAACAGAATGTTGCTGTTGCCGAAAGTCCTTTCCATGTCAGCCAGTCTAGAAACTGCCATCAACCGAATCTGCCCGGGACGCTCAACTCATCCTGCCTGACTCACGCGCGAAAAACTGCCATTCTGCGCGAACAGAAGCAAGCGTGCAAGGCGGGTCAGACGAAAGTGGGGTGGAGATGACGAGTGGGACGAGCGCGTTCATTCTGCGGTTGAGAAGGAATGGAACGATCGCGATGGCGCATCAGCGGTAGTGCACAGAGAGGGGGATGATTGACTGAGCATCCCACCCAGGCCAAATCGGGATGGTAGACGGTCTTATATGTTACAGAACGTTGCAGATTGGTCCAGGCGTTACGCCCATAGACTATTTTGCCCACCACCCGTGCTCCATAACAAAATCTAGCTACCCCTCCGATCTGAGTCAGTGGTCATTTTTGTTAGCTCCAGCCACATTTCTCGCACCATTCCAGTGTTGTCGTTCGACTTAGATTGTCAACTTGACATATTCTGCCTTCAATTCGTCTTCTCGATGGCTGCTGCTCACTGCGAACGCACAGGCATTCCACCAGTAGGCTCGCTAGCTCGCGCCGCCAGCCTACCGCTTCACCGGCAAAGCTCGCTTGACGCATTCAGGCGGCGCGTGAGTCCGCTTAAGATCGAGTCCCCTGCAACGGCAGACGAACCCGAGAAAGGGGCCCCTCTGAATCCGTGGGACATTAACTACGACGAGATATTTCCGCAATGTGCGCGGCTAGCGGAGCAATTCAGCCACGTGTCGGTCCACCAGCAACGCACCAAAGAGCGCCACGCGCGGTCTCAAAGCGAGTTGCCGATCGCCGTTCTGCCGCCGCGTCACCAGAGCCGCTTCGAAGAAACTGCCGTCCGTCTCACGTCCTCGCCGCCGTCGCCTGCGGAGAACTCCTCGTCGCGAGCCCGCAGCTTCCGCGAATTGCGCTCTCGCGTTCTCGGCTGCTCTCTCGGCTCGCCATGCACCGTGTCGCTCGCAAACTTGCGTCAACGAGACGAAGGTTCCCGATCGCAAGACGCTGGGCGTTTCGAGGCACATCCGGAAGAGGCGGGCTTGCGTGATTGGTGCTGGGCGAGGCAGGGGAAGAGTAACAGTCTCGGCGGAGAAATCTCCGTAACCGAACCCTGTTACGATGTCGGCGGTGATTACGATAACGGAGCAGACTTCAACGGCGCGCCGAAGCAGCTTAATTTTTCCTGCCCCCGTTACCTGTGCAAGCAGGCGTCTGAACCGCGAATGTCCGGGCCAACATTCAATCATTATGATTGGTCCTCCGATTTTGGCGAAGTTTGCGATCGGCGGGCCAAAAGTTTCGCTCTCGACCGGGTACCCGTGGCGAGCATTTGTGACGCGTATCTCGGGCTTGACGATCTGGACGACGCTGCTTTCTCGGACGACGACGCCTGTTTGTTCACCGAGGAGATGCTGCTTGCGAGCGAAATCGGCACGTTTCGCGAAGAGGTTGCGAACGAAGGCGAAATCAGGGAAGTAAATGTGGAGGTGTTGCCGGGGAATTAAGCGCGCGCGTTGCCAAAGTAGCGTGTGGCGGAGCGATCTTCCGTAAGGGGCAACGGCGCAACCAGAAATCCGCCGCCTTATTGTCACGGCGTCCCGGAGTTTTCTAGGCGGTGGCAGACGATTGGAGCTTGTTCTGCTGTCCGCCGTCCGATTACCCAACTGCTGGATCGAGTGACATGTTGAATTCAGGCCTGCATGCAGCAGCCTCTTTTTCTGTGGGCGTAGCTTTGCCCTGGTTTGTTTATGCATTGTGCATTGTGACACCCAAAAACAACATAATAGAGTCGCCTTTCAGCGACTTGTACTGTATTTACTATTGGTCAGCCTTGCTAATAAGGGATTTACTGTTCACTCTAAACAGTACTTTCCAACTCACCCTTATCTTTATCTTCCTAGATTTCCTAGTGCCATGTGGCCAGGGCCCAAAATATCAGGGTAAAATACCCTTTTTGCCCTTTCTGTAGGCTGCTTTTTTCTAGTTACCCTGATCTAGGCCGGCTATGAATTGTGTTACCCTTTCTCTCCCAAATAATGGGTTTTTGGTTACCCTTACAAATTCAGCGTAGGCGTTTCGTTACCCTGTGTAGAAAGGGTGGGCTCTGAGTTACCCTGAAACCGAATCTCCCTTAGCGAGGATTCGCCCAGATGCACTGCACCCCTCACGTAACGCCCTGCCGCCCTGCTCTGTGTTCCCAACGTGCGGTGAAAAAAAATTCCCCCGCTGCGCGGAGACCCACCATCAGGCTCCTAGATTCGTTTTGTGGTAGTCTGACGCCTCAGAGTACACCCCTCTGTCAAGATAAGGAGCTTAGGGTTTAGGACTTAGGCGTAGGATGGTATCGAGAGGGATAGAAGATTGGCCAAAGAGCGGTTTCATTATGAGATTGGGAGTACAAATAGGAAGAAGGGGAAGGGGAAAGGGTACACCACCAGTAGTTGGTATCTAATAACTACCAGCTAACTGTAGGCAGTTATAAGGTATGCAAATACAATTCAACACCCTCTTCCTAGTCTGGCTGTCAGAGTTACCTATTTTTTTTAGTCTGAAAAATCAGACAAGCACAACTTCTTTTGTCTGAACTGTCAGAGTTACTTCAAATTTCAAGATGTTAATGCAGTTTCATAACAACATACGGTAGCTATTGTTGGGCTGAAAAACCCCCTTAGGATCTTTGGTAGAGTAAATCTCTGGGTAGAGTGATGTGGTAGCGGAAGCGTTTAATGATGAGACTCTGAACCACCTTGCACTAGTGTGTGAGAACAAAGTGAGTTGATTAAAGCAAACAAGTACAAAGGTTTATATAGGAGTACAAGGAATACGAAGAGATACCGTATAGTTCCGGCTAGAAGACCCGGGGGACTCTACAAATGCTGGAAATCGTGCTCGGGTGGACATTATGGCGGCAACAATTTTTTAAGACCCGGGGTAACCTATTTGTCAATTATCAATCTGATATTTAGGGTGTACAACTCAATTTGGGGTGGGGGGGTCTTATATTCGTAACGAATTCGCGAAAATTTCACGCGTGCGGCGCGTCAGATCTGTGTCAGAATTCGAGTCTGACACAAATGAAGTGTCAGAATTCGAGTTTGACACAAAAAGCGTGTCAGAATTCGAATTTACACTAGTAAAAGCTGACGCACAATATCAATTACAACTACTGTATACAGAAAAGGGGGGTCTTATGATGATTAGAGGCGAAGGGGGGGTCCTCACAAAATCGGCCACAATAAGAGTCCCCCTACCCATACAAGAGTCCCGGGGGACCCTTCTTACCGGCGGGTCTTCTAGCCGGAACTATACGGTATGAATGACAACTGTTTTACTGTTGGCTGTTGCGGTTCGATACAGTGCAACTCGGGCAACTGCTCAATATCGAGTCAGTTGTGTGTCCTTGCTGTCGCGCTGCCTTTGTCAAGTCAAAGGTCCGCTGACCTTTTGACTTTCCTGTAACCTCCAGCGGTTACTTCAACCTCCGAGGGTTGACTCGCTAGTGCCTCGATATGATTTGCTTCGCTTGTGCCTTGGTGTTTCGACACGATAGAAGCGCTTTAGGACCGATTGTTTCCAACACTCCCCTTCGCTTCTGGAGTGTCGCTGACGTGGCTCTGTCCAGTCAGCAACATGTAGTATTCGAACTTCTGCTTTCCGAGTTTCTTGGTCAAGTAGCTG